ATCCATTAATAGAAGATCTATGATATATTATAAATTTTGGCCTCTATCCCATTTTGGAGGGAGTTCCCTATATGCTAATGGACAGGATTAAGATGAGATGTACTCTATTAGATACTTGTTTCCTTGGAGGTATGGTCTGCTCAAAGAAAAAAACTACACCTCCATTAAAGCCATTCTTCTATGTGTAATACAGATATCTTAGAAACAGAAATAATGAATTCATGAGACCATCACAGAAGAGCTACCAATGGAGCATGTTCAAAATCCTTTATCTGAAGTGGTAGAGACTGGGGCCAGAGGCATGAGAGACTGTGCACACGGACCATGGGGCAAGGCAGAGGGGCTATGTCCCTGAGACTTGAGACAGTGAGGTAGAGTGACAGGCAGGCTTCCCGGTCTACAGTGGTAGATGCCAAAGAACCACGTGTCTGAGAGGATGAGGATCAAAATGACACTTCACTGATGTGCACCACTGCCTGTATCTTATCTAGTTACTGGTCCTGATTTGTAGTAACCTGTTAACTTTCCTAATAAACCCCCATGATTGTGAGTCTGTCTGTGAGCTTTATGTGGTCATTACAACAAATTATCAACCCAGCACAAAAGTAGAATGCCATGAAAGGAACACTTGGTATCAAAGTAGATAAAGAAAGGTAGAGGGTGGAGGCATATATGACTCTGCCATGTGGCAAGTGGCACTGCGTAGATGTAGAGATGGATTTTTTTTTCTCTCTTGTATAGTCAGAGAAGGTCAGATGTGGTCTCCATGCCATTTTCTCAGGGGCCGTCTTTTTTTTTTTTTTTGCTGACCCTCTACTTTGCAAGTATGATGCACAAAGTATTTAAGGCAAAATCCCATCATCACTGCTTCAAAAAAAACATTATGGCTGTATTTCTTCCAAAATGGATTTGTTTATTCTCCTGGAATTCCATGGTGCGGGAGCAATAAATTATTTAATATGGTTCTTCTGGCCAAAGTCTCTAACGCCCACCAAACCACCTTTCCGTGCATGGGTCTAGTAAGAAGGTGGGGGAAGACACTAATAGGACTCACCTGTGATGAAATGTAAATAGGATTCCCTGGAGTGTCATACTGGTGTGTAAAAACTAAGCCCTCTGAGAAGCAGAAGGAGGGATGTCATTATCAGCAAGAGCCAGGAGTAGAGTTCAATTCTGGACTAGAGATCCCTGTGCAGTGAACTTCCTGGATCCAGATGACAGCTATACTATCAGAGCAGCAGCAGTAGAACCAGGAGCCAGAACATGGAACAGAGTGATGGACTTCCCAACCTACAGCGCAAGTAAAGCTAAGTACTTTTGTGCAGGACGTGGGCTTTTGGAGTGGGCACTTAATTGGGGGGTCCGGACTTGCTGAGTCACGGGAGTGGAGCTCAGTGCCTTTGGGCTGAGGCTTACTGGAATGAGGTGCCTCTGGGAACTTAACGAAGAGAGCTAGGTTTGCTGACCCATCAAGCTTTGGCTGAATGTGTTGGAGTGAGGCTTACAGCTCAGTGGTATGCCCCTTCTGGTATTTATTAGCAGACCTGAATTTTGTGCCAGGTTCTGGTAAACAATAACCCTGAGCATTTCTCACTGGCATTCAACTTGCTAACTTCCTTAATAAACCTTTTAATCATGCATTTTGTCTGTGAGTTTTGCATAGTAATTGCAATGGATATTAGAAATTAGAGAGATAAAGGATAGAACATTAAGACATTACACATGGTATATTCAATATTCTTTGACAACACCACAATTCAAACACACCAATTCTTCTCCAGTCTTTCTTATTCATTGTCCAGCACATGCGTATGAGGCAACTGAAAATACTTTGGCTTGGGACAGGTCACTTTAGTCCTCAAAATGAAATCTTAGAAGCAACAAAGCCCACATGGAAGAAGCACACCAGCCTATGCAACCACGAGGTGTTGAAGGGATCAGGTGTAAGGCATCATCAGAACAAAAAATCTTACCATAGTGAATGATGGGGGGAGTGCGGAGTGGAGATCCAAAGCCCATTAGTAGACCACTGGAGATCCCCTTGCAGAGGGGTCTCGGGGAGGAGATAAGCCAGTCAGGGTGCGATGTAACAATGATGAGAAATACAATCTTCCTCTAGTTCCTAAAGGTTTCCTCCCCGCTCCCACTACCATGACTCGAATTCTATCTTGCAAGACTGGCTAGACCAGAGGAGGTACACTGGTACAGATAGGAACTGAAAATACAGGGAATCCAGGACGGATGAGCCCTATAGGACCAGTGGTATGAGTGGCAAAACAGGGAGGGTAAAGGGAGAATGGGTAGGAAAGAGGGAACCGATTACATGGAACTGTGTGTGACCTCCTCCCTGGGGGACAGACAACCGAAAAGTGGATGAAGGGAGACGTCGGACAGGGCAAGATATGACAAAATACCCATTTATAAACTATCAAGGGCTCATGCGGGAGGGGGGAGCAGGGAGGGAGGGGAAAAATGAGGACCTAATGTCGGGGGTTTAAATGGAGAGAAAATGTTTTGAGAAACGATGTACAAATGCGCTTTACACAATTGATGTGTGTATGGATTGGGATAACAGTTGTATGAGCCCCTAATAAAATGTTAAAAAAGAAAAAAATAACAATAATAAAATAAAATAAAATAAAAATGAAATATTTTCCCTTTAACACTATAAAAAAGTCTTTGGCAGCAGATATGCCCAATACAATGTGTTGTTTGATTTCGTGATGACTGCTTCCATAAGCACTGATTGTGGACTGAAGTAAAAGAAAATTCTTGATGGAGAGCAAATGTTTTGAGAATGATGAGGGCAATGAATGTACAAATGTGCTTTACACAATTGATGTATATATGGATTGTGATAAGAGTTGTATGAGTCCCTAATAAAACGATTAAAAAAAAAAAGAAAATTCTTGACAACTTCAAAATTTTCTCCCTTTATGATGATGTTACTTATTGGCCCAGTTCTGGGGATTTTTGTTTTCTTCACAATGACCTGTCATCTATACTGAAAATTGTATTCTTTGGTCTTCCTTCGTCAATAGCTGTTTCAAGTCCTCTTTACTGCCAGCAAGTAAAATTGTGTCAACCCCCTACTGTAGGCTGTTAATGAGCCATCCTCCAATCCTGATGCTGTCTTCTTCATAGAGTCCAGCTTCTCAGATTATTTGCTCAGCTATGAGGATAACTTTATGGGCTGGATTATTGCTTAGCAATCAAATAAGTTCCTGGACTAACACAGGAGCTATCAGTTCCCAGAGAATATCATGCTTGGTAAGGTGGAGGGCCAGCTCCTCTCAAGGAGATGGACTGACTTAGTGTCTGCAATAATGGCCTCAAATGGGAACAATCGTGAAGAGGGAGCAGGACTAGGCAGTGTTTCTTTTGTTGTACCCAGGGTCACACTGAGTTGAAACTTACTGAACTGCATCCAACAAAACCCTAACAACATTGAAAAATTAGTTAAACACTAAGCAAAGGGAGAAGGAGCAGAAGATGAGAAGGTATTCAAAAGATACATGTATAAGAGCCCTTTTAAGCTTATTTTGTACTTCCACAAAGACTTACTGAATTGACTTCCTGCTGTGAATCTTGTAGATGTTGCTGAAGAGGTCCCAACTGAGCCTTCCCTGAATCTACACTCTCCTCCAATTCTGCTGTTTCTTGCTGTAGGCGGCTCAGCTCTTCTCTGGCTTTGGCTAGTTCTTCTTCATAAGTGGAGATCTGTGACTCTTGATTAGTTATTTCAGCTTTCAGAGAAGAAATCTATAATGTGGAGATGAATAGAAAAAAAAGGAATTAAAGGATGTCATTAAAATGTTCCATGATGCAATACTTTTATTTAGCTTATTATTTTGGTGAGTTTTGGTATGTTTTTGATGTTTGAGAAGGGCAATTGGGTAGCAATAGGTACCATATTTCTAACGAAAATATAGAAAAACAGTACATTAAGTGCTCTGTTACTTGCTGGAAAAATAGCCTATAATTTCTGAATGCATCTTGCTCTAGCTCCCTGAGTAGATTGCCTTCTAACAAAAACAACAAAAAGTAGAGGTTTTTCCTCTAAGCTAGTGGTTCTCAACCTTTCTAATGCCGTGACCCTTTAATACAGTTCCTCATGATGGGGGAACCCCCAGCCATAAAATTATTTCCACTGCTACTTCATAACTGTAATTTTGCTACTGTTATGAATCGGGCGACCTCTGTGAAAAGGTCATTCAACCTCCAGAGGGGTCGATACCCACAGGTTGAGACCCGCTGTTCTAAGGTAAGAAAAGTAATTAAAATATAGATGTAGGCAAAGGTGAACTACCACACTTTACCAGCTGAGCTTCCTCAGCGCATTTCTTTCTGACTTCCTGGAGCTGCTCCTCCAGCTGGGCTTTCTGCTCATCCAGTTCGTCAAGGAGTTCCTGTACTTGCTGTTTCTGAACCTGTAGCTTTTGCAGATTAGTATTCTCCCTTTGAACTTCATCTTGAAGATCCTAAAATGCAAAAAAAGCTGGTTAACATATTTAGTCTCTTTGTCTTATGAGATATGCTGTCTTGTTGGATTGGAGAACTTATTATATCTTTAAATACAGTGTTTATCTGAGGACTTCTCTATACTTCATATTCTTCATATTTTAATATCCAATTCACTTAAGAGTCAAATCTGTTCTTGGATGTCTGATGGGTTTCTCTAAATGTCCAAAACAGAACAAGTAATTTCCCCAAATGTTGCTTCCTTCTTAATCTTTCTCCTCTTAGTCTCCTTAGCCAGAAGAAATAGCATCTTCTTTGTCTCCTCTCTCTCACACCCTACTTCAAATCTGTTGACAAATCCTGTTACCTCTTCCTTCAAAGTATATTCAGAAAGTCCCATCATTGCTAAGTTACTCATCTCTCTCTTAGATGCCTTCTAACTAGTTTTGCTACATCCACCAATGCTCCCTTCCACTATTTTCAGTATGCAATCACTCTTAAAAAGAGGGTGACATGAAAATAATAATAATTTATAATTTATCAGGGGTCCACAAGGGTGGGAGTTGAGGAGTGGGGAAAAAAGAGGAGCTGATACCAAGGGTTCAAGCAGAAAGTGTTTTGAAAATGATGATGGCAACATATATACAAATGTGTTTGACACAATTGATGTGTGGATTGTTTTAAGAGCTATAAGAACCCCCAATAAAATGGTTTTTTAAAAACCTACATTAGATTAAGTCACTCCACTATTCAAAACACTACACTGACTTCCCATCTCTCACCACAAAAGTTACAGTCCTTCTAGTGGCCTCTACACCCCTACATGAGACCATTTCCCAACTTCATTCCTAATACGCTCTCCTTACACAATCTATTTCAGTAACACTTAAAGCCGCTGCTCCTTACAAATGCTATATATGCTCTCCTCTCAGGATTTTTCGCTGATTATTCCCTCTTCCTAGAGAGTTTTTCCTGGAAGTGTCTACATGACTCAATCTCTCACTTTCTTTAAGTCTTTTCTCAACTGTTATCCACTATGTCTTCTGGACTACTACCATCACTTAAAATTAATCTGCACAAATTGTACAATTCACTAGTTTTTAGTATATTCATAGTTTTGTACAGCTGTTACCACAATCTAATTTAAGAGCATTTTCATCACCCCAAATATTTCCCTTGCATTCTTCTGAAGTTAACCTACTCTAACTCACTTCAATCTCCAGGCAAATAATAATCTATTTTCTGTAGCTAAAATTTTTCCTTTGATAGAAATTTCACATAAATGGAAGCATTCACTATGTAGGCTAATGTATCTGGTTTCTTTCACCTGGTATGTCATTTTGGAGATTCACCTGTGTGAAATATGTATAAATAGTTAATTCCTTTTTATTGCAGATAGTATTAAATTGTATAGTTATACCAGTTACACAATTTTCCATTTTTGGCTACTATGCATAATACAGCATATACTGTGTTCACCTTCTTTATTGTCTCTTTCCACTAGAATGTAAATTCTATGGGTACAGGCATATTTGTACGTTTATTCCATTGCTGTATCCCCATTCTTAGTACACAGGAGGTATTATATCAATATTCATACTTTATTCGTTGTTTGAGAAATAAATGACTCAAAAACTTGTCAACTCTCTAATTTTTAATACCAATGAAAAGTCTTAACAGGATTTTTCAAAGAACCTGATAAGCGGATTCAAAAAGCTTTTTGGAAGAGCAAAAGAAACAAGAACAGCATTGCAAAATGTACACTTATGCTTTATAGATCATGAATTTTTAGAAAGTGAAAATAAGACAATCTTGTATTCATATAAGGATATATAAATAGATCAAGGAACTAAAAAGGATAATTGAGACCTAGGCATATACAGAAAAACCAGCATCATAGGAAAACTGGTGCAAAGAAAAGGTATTACAAATTGACTAGTGGGAAAAGAAACGATTCAGTAAATGGTACTGGGCCTTTCCATACAGAAAAAGAAAATTAAGCCAGTCTCTAATCTGAGAAGCTGGACTGCATGAAGAAGAATACAGCATCAGGATCGGAGAAAGGCTGCAATATGCAGATGACACAATTTTGTTTGCAGAAAACAAGGACTTGAAGTATTTGCTGATGAGAATTAAGGATTGAAACCTTCAATATAGATCATAACTCAATTAAAAGAAAACCCAAATCCTCACAACTGGACCATTAGGTAACATCATGATCAAGGGAGAAAAGACTGAAGTAGCCAAGGATTTCATCTTGCATGGATCTACAATTAATGCTCATGGAAGCAGCAGTCAAGAATCTGCATTGGGTAACTCTGCTGCACGAAACTTCTTTAAAGTGTTTAAGATGAAGGATTTCACTTTGAGGACTAGAGTGTGCCTGACCCAAACCATGGTATTTTCAATTGCTTCATACGCCTGTGTAAGTTAGACACTGAATAAGGAAGACTAGAACAAATGTTCATTATGGTGCTGGTGGGGAATGTTGAAAGTAAAACGGACTGCAAAAGAACAAACAAATCTGTCTTGAAAGAAATACAGCCAGAATGCTGCTTAGCAGTATGGATGGCAAGACTATGTCTGTCTTTCTTACATTAGACAAGTTATCAGGAGAGACCACTCCCTGTAACTAATTGTATTCATTTGGGAATTTAATCCTATGTGAAGTCCTTAATTTTTCCATAAAAATTATTCTGTAATTTATATTTAATAATGTGCTGGCTCAAAAAAGAACCAACAATAAAAATCTTGAGAACTTTATTTCTTTACTTAGTAATTGTTCAGGGCTAAGAATTAGAAAAATATCTGATACTTGTCCTTCCCCTGAAGTATTCTAGTACTTTTTCCTACCATTCCACACACTACAAAGAAAAATCTAGTACTTTATATGTTAATAAAATGTAATCTTAATAATCAGGGGTAAAATCTCTAGTTTTACCGTAAATCCACTAAAATAAAATGTATTTAAAAGAGTCACATAAGGAAAATGTCAAAGACAATGTTGAATACAAATGCACATATAGTATAACTGAATAAACATAAAGTCGTCCATGTATATTCATAGAAATATAACAAAGTCCTAACTGTGGCTCTCTTACATGTGAATTTACGGTGTTCTTTTTCTTTTCTTTTTATCTTTTCTGTATATTATAAGCTTACTTTAAGCTTTATAAGAAACTTACAAAGTTAACAGTGAACCCATGTTATAAGTAGAAAACGTCACTCGCTATTTTATAAATATCATAAATTATTAGTAGTTGCATGCCAATATAAAAACCAATCAATGCTGGTTGCATTTGCTAAATTTAAATTTGGTTTTTTTATTGAAAACTACTTAAAAACTAATAAACTGTATTCTTTGATGAGTCACATTTAACAGCATCTATAGATGACAGTGTGTAAAAAAAGGGTAAATAAACCAATCTAATATTTACTCATTCTTGTCCTTGCTCTTCACTGAGCAAACACATTTATAGTCACTGCCTCATTTCTTAGGTGCAGTAAAAGTCAACTTTTATTTTATTTATTTATTTATTTATTTTCCCCAAAAGTCAACTTTTAAAAACACATTTTAAAACAAAGAAACTATCAATGCTATCAAGTAGATTCCAAGTCAAAGCTATACTATAAGGACAGAGGAGAACTATAGAGTTTCCAAGACTGCAAATCTTTACAGAAGCACACTATCTCATCTTTGTCCTGTGGAGCAGTGAACAGGTTCAAACTGCTGAGCAGCCCACCGCTGAACTGGTTGCAGCATGAAGGCTCCTTCAAAAAAAGTCACGTTGTAACACCAAATTACAAGCTTTATGGGAAAGGTTGCTAAGATAATATCTCAAATTAATGACAAGGTGCAAGGAGAATACAGGGTCATATTAAAATCCCTATAATTTATGTTTCTCCACCAAATTACAGTGGTAGAGCTCCATGTTAGGGTTTTCACCCCTGCAGTGTAATTTCCACATTAGTATCAGCATCCAGATATACGTGACTATTTTATTTTGATATAGACTTGCTTATCTTCAGATGAATTAAGGCAAACAGAGAATCATTTTCCCTCCTTGACTAGGACAGTAATAGCTACTCTTAGCAAATAGAGCTTCCACTAAACTAAATGTCTCTTAATCTTAAGGAGTCCTGTTCGTACAATCCACTCCTGGGTATGTGCTCAGCCTCAGCAAATGCCATCTGATCAAGTGACTGAGTGTGGACATTTCACAGATGCCCGGCTCTCCGAGTTCTGCTCTATTTCCATGAACATGCTCTACTTGCTTACTTGTGCCATCGACAGCAAGGGAAAGAATAACAGCAATCTGAGAACGACAAGGATGAAAGAAAAAGGCTAGTGTAGCACAGTGTCAGCACTGTTTTAGAAAAACACAAAGGAAGCTACATCTAAAATTCCTTATCCAGGAATAAAAGAATACTTAAAATTCTGGCTTTACTGAAAAATAAATTTCAAAACTTCAAATACTGAAATCAACTGATCCATTTTCTCCCACACATCATTTAGTGCTATGGGGTACAGGAAATAGAATGCCAACAAATACACATAACTTCTACCTTTCTTAAAAATTAAGTTAACTCCAGCTTAGTAAACTCAAATATAATGTAATTGCGATATACAACCAGAGATAATTAAGTAATAAATGTATAATGTATTAGCAACATATTTGTTGTATAAAAATAAAGAAAATAAGACATGAAATTATTAATAACATACTTTTCTAAATTCCCAAAGTATACTCAAAGAAATATACTTAACAATAGTAAGTTATGTGTATATTCCTCTGAAGAACCACTAAAGAGAAAAAGAAGTTTTTAGTATTTGGTGACCTAAAAGTGTAATCTATAGACTTGATATATTAAAAAAAAAAAAAGATTCTGTAGAATGACCCTAAACTAGAATAATCAGGTATATTCATGGCCTAATTCTGAAAACAAAAGTGATAGGATTATTTTTAATATCAATAATGCATCAATTATAAGGCAAAATGTTTAAGTCAACAAACAGAGA